CCTACCTGCCTGTCAGCCTTCCATCTGTGCACAAACTTATCTCGTGCGCGTTCGTGTGTGTTGGAGGAGGGGCTCTGTAAGGAAGTGGCAGATTTTCTCCGGTTGTGTATTTTCAAATTCTAGCGCACTCGAGCTGGTTTCTCCAAAATTACATACCCCACCTTTAACTTTGGATAATGTTAGGGATTCATTTTGTCTTACTCCTAGGAGTCTAACCTTTTCTGTGTGTTGACGTTTACGACCAACCCTAAGTCTGTTATCTGTCTTAAGGAATGGGAAGTCTCAGCTATTGTTGACATTACCAGTTTTATGACCGGTCAACTCTCGGTCACAGAGCCTAAGAGTCAGATAAGTGATTCAGTGTCTCCAGGTGTTTACGCCACAATATGCTCATTAACTCTCTGTAAACTAGTTAAAAGGTCTATCGAGAGATAGGCTGGTCAGATTTGACATGGCAACCCACCAGTGCAGTCAGAACCTTTGACTGTTGTGACCTTTTGATGTGAGGTTTCTCCGGCGCGATGCTTGTATTAAAGATGCGCGTGTTTGACATCAGCTTCCATTCTCGTCGGTGTCTCTCTGGTCCTACTCTCTCTTCGGCTGGCAGAAGTTTGCCGGCTAAGATAATAACACGGAGAATGGCAGAAGGCGCTCCTTTTGCGCTCTCTCCGCTCTCCTGACAGGCCTGTCATATCCTCAGGCAGGCTCCCGTGATCCAGTAATGGTGGACCCGACAAGTGAAGAATAGAACAGTACCTTTATAACTAGTTTGCTTGTTCTCAGGATGTAGATTCATAGTTAATGGTATTTAGGTCTACTCTGAGTGTCGTGTTTGCTCCGCTCTCGGTCCCGTCAGGCGGTGAGGCTGGGCAGATTTCTGCTTCAGCCATGTTGCATACGCGCTAATTTGCGTGTCTTTTTCGGAACGTTAAATACTGCAGACTGGTGAAGCCATTTTTGATGAGCTTGGTTTTGCGCGGCCAGAGAACAGTGTAATGTATAAGATTTAAGTCTGTGATTGGCCTCTCCTAGGTTCGGACTTTATAGAGAGCACCGGATCGCATCGGCAGGAAGTAAATAGTCGGGACCGGTTCGATATGCGAGCTCCCTAGACTCTACAACTCATGTGGCAGTTCAGGCTTTGCGGTGTGATTTAAGGATGTACAATCGTGATAAATACAATAAATTTAAAAAAGGCAAGATTCAGCACGCATATATCTATTTGTTTATTGAATCCAAGATGGCTGAATACCACATTAAAGAAATTGCAGTTCAGATAGTAGAAGACAGTGAAGCAGGCCACAGTGTGTAAGTGGACAGATCATTGGATTATGCTCATCAGGGGTAGACATTAGGGTAAAATTGGTATTTAATCACTGGCCACCAATTGTACACCCGTGGCGGCCGGAGCATTCGTCACAAAAAATGAGTGATAATCGACAGAAATTAAGCACATTTGTTGCATTAGTAATTTATGCACTACTACATTAGCTGGACTTGTACTACAGACTTTTGAATCATCAGTTCTTCTCTTTTCCTCAATTGTTGCTATTTGGTTTTTAAAAGTAATGTAGTTGTGGTCTTGTTAAAAAATGTCTGGCTATTAGTAATGGTATTATTATTAGTATGAATCGCGCTCTCTGCGCTTGCCTGTCATCAGGGTCTTCTAGAATATGCAATGCAGGCTTGTAATGATAGATGAACCTTCATCTCTTCTACTCCGGGCTGGAACATTTCCTAAGCCAATACCTTCTCATANTAGTAGAAAAGCCTATTCACCCATATGTCATCCAATGTTTTATTTAGCCAAGTGTTAGACGATATAGATGAAAACCTTTTAAATTGAATAAGGCCTCTATTGGCTAAATAAAACATTGGATGACATATGGGTGAATAGGCTTTTCTACTACTTATAATTCTATATTTGAGCAGAATTAAATAAAATGAGGCTATATACAATATATACTAGGGATGCTCCGATCGATCGGCCGCCGATCGAACGGCCGCCGATCGATATCGGCCGATACCCACTCTCTACCGATCGATCGGTGTTCTCTAAGCAGTTAATGTAGACTTGAATAATGTACTTAATTTGAATGTAATAATTATGTTGGTTGTTGTTTGTGGAAGCGCCAGTGACTGAGCCCCATTAACTGAGTTTTAAACATCACTTTAAATGGAAGATCCCCATAGGCCCCGCCCACTCGATCGGATCGGCGAGCGGTATTGGCCGATACTGATTCCGGCGATCAGCCTCAAAATTCCCGATCGGAGCGTCCCTAATAGATTCCTTCGTAAAATACTTGTTATATAATTGCTTGAATTTTAGAAGTTGTGAATTCAGAATCTTTGAGGATGAAAATCTAAATTCTTCTTGACCTTGAATCTATTTTGCCCCCCCCACCCTTATCCACCAGCCTCGATAATAACCCCTGCTTCCCTCCTCCTGTCCCCAGCTGAGATCCTGCAGGCCAACGACACCCTGACTCAGGTCATCAACCAGTACAAGCAGCAGGTGAAGGGGGAGATCGTCAACGGCAACAACACGTTAAACACACACAAGCAAACAGGTGGGAAGAGCTGAGCGCAGAAACACATTAATGTGTAGAGAAGATGGAATTGGAGGATGAACCCCTCTTTAATGGTCCCACGTGTTCATGCACACAGCCTAATGAGTGTACTGTGTAATAGTGGTGTAATCATACACAGTGAAATGGGACCTCTCCAAGTAGCAGTCCACACTCCATATTTTAAGTCTGTTCGGGGACTTGAACCAGCGACCCTACTGACTGAGCACTGCCGGACAAGAGATGTTAAATGCAGAAGATTATTTATATACAATAACTTTATTGATACCTCTCAGGAGGGACGTCCCTGCTGGATCTGTCGGGGTTGGACACATCGCCTCAGTCGCCGTCATCTTTCCCAGAGTTCCCCACTCCCACAGACAACGCCCCCTCGCAGGAGATGGGGATCAGTCTCCTGGACGACGAGCTCATGTCACTCGGTAACAGCATCGCCTGAACATATTGAGTTATTATTCATAGGCCATACTGCCGAGCCCTATGCAGGACTTTGATTGTGTGGAGTTCTTTATAATAATAATAATACATTTGATTTATTTGGTGCTTTTCCTGGTGCTTTACAAGCAATTAAAGAAGAAAAATAACAACAAAAGTAAAAAGTGCTAAGCTAGGTGGAATAAGGGCGAGGGGTTAGTGGATAAGGAGTTGAAGGCAAGAGTGAAAGGGTGAGTTTTGAGGGATTGTTTGAATGATCTGAGTGTTGGTATGTTGAACCATTATGCTACATAGTTGTGTTACTCTTTGTGCATCCCACAGGTCTAAGTGAAGGAACACACACCTCCAACCCCCCCTCACAACCTGAAGACTCCACAGCCTGGGACTCCTTCCAGGTGATTCTTTACGCTCTCAAACATGCACCCCCTTAAACAGTCACGTTAAAAGGCTCATCGCTCTGAATACATGTCCGGTATAATCAGCGAGACATCCATCTCCTCACACTCTCTCTTCTTCAGTCCTCTGACAGTATAGACGCAGACATCCCAGCAGCCCCGAGCCTCCTCCTGACTCCGGACCCCCCCTCCCTCTCTCTCCCCCTCTCCTCCCTCTCTCTCCCCCTCTCCTCCGGCTCCACCCCCGGTAACTCCGCCCTGGACGAGCTGGACCTACTGGGGAAGACGCTGATGCAGCAGTCCCTGCCTCCAGAGGGCCAGCAGGTCAAATGGTAATTTAAAAAACTCTGTTCTACTGTGACAATAGCTGTGGGAAATAGCTTCAGATAAGCATTTAAAGGTCCCATGTCATGCTTCTCCGGTTATTACCCGTCCCCTTGTGTGTTATGAAGGTTTTTATGTAAACGGTCTGCAGAGTCAAAACCCTCAAAGTACACCCTGTAGGGAGTAAAACTCTAACACAGAGAAGACCTGTCTGTGCTGCCCCAGAACGCCTCGTTGGACATTTCTCTTTTTCCATTGTTTGCTTCTTTGGTATAGTGACGTATTTCGGGTATAGTGACGTTTGGACCAATCCGTGGACTTCCTCACACACACACACACTCGGCAGGACGTTGCGAGGCTCGCTGCTGGGAGGAGCGGGACACTGTGAGCTGGCTCAATGGTGTGGGGTCAGCGAGACACAGCGGAACTCAGCCTGAACACACACAAACTCCCAGCCAGGCTGCGGGTGTGTGTGTGTGTTTCGGTCTGTGTCTCGCTGTCTCGCAGACGGCCACTGGGCTC